CTTGTTTCTTCAGAAAAAAAACGAACATAATAAAGTTCCACAGAAATCCTCTTCCACTTCTCGAAGAGCGTGTTGGTAGGGCCCCTGCTTTTGCAGCCGAGTACACATTTCTGCTCTACATAGGTGTATCATGCAGCTTTCTAATCGTAACACGGAGAAACTCCTCAAGAAATCACGACGCTAGTAACCCTTCAATCCCAACGAGTGAGCCCAACGAAGTGGCTTTTTCTGAGCTCAGTCTCTCATATCCAGAGCACATGATCCTTGGGGAATCCACGGGTGGGAAGGGGTTCTAAAGGTGCAGTCAGGGGGTCGTTCTCCGAGATGAAATCTTCGGAATGAAACCCCACACTCGTTTACCTCGCCATTCCATGTGAGAGAATTCACTGACCAAGATAACCTTTTTGTCTTCCATTCCTGTATGGTATCGCTGATATCGTCATAACCAGTCAGGGCGCTGTCAGCCAGAGTCAAGCATCCGTTGAGTAATCCTCAACGGAGGGGTCGAATTCGGCTCGTGAGTAATGGTGAAAGAGGAGCTAATGAAGACTTAGTAAATGAATGAAGAGGACCCTATTTGGTGAGAACACTTGCTTATTCTCCAGATGACATTGAAATTGTAACAGAATTTGGAATGAAATTAGGGAGCGCGAATCTCGATCTTCCCAATATTTGAACTTTACTTCTGAAAGTATAAATAAAAAAGGTTATGTCCTTCTGGAGAAAGGGAAAAGTGGAATCTTCTACTCTTTCAGCGCCGGTTTTCGCTTGTCATTGACCCCGTATTACCGAAGTTATGGTCCCTAAGAGGCTGAAAGCTCGTGTCTTCATGGAATCTTCCATCGTTAATTATGATGCAAAACCCAGCGACCACCTTTAGGACTTCAGTTCAGTACCTTCGTAAGGTGCTGTTTATGAAGGAAGTCACAACCATTCGAAAAGACCACTGAAATAGCACGCTTCCATGCGGGCACGCGACACAGCTGAAGGAAAAGTCACTGCGCTATATTCCATCGAAGTTTGAATTGTTGTTTCATTCTCTTTTTCATTGAGTAAGAAGAGAGGAGGAATCGTATTGACACCTACTTTCAAAGAGGGTCATGCTGACGAGCCAGTTTTCCTCAGCGTGATGCTTGACTCTGGTGTCAGGAGTGGGGTCATGAGTTCGCCTCAGGCTGCCTTTTTTCTACCAATAGTTATCAGCTAGTGATCTTTTTAGGAAGAAAACGACAACTCAAGGAAGCATCGCAGGTGGACTCATTCCAGTCCTCTTGGAACTTCCCTGACTGGACCGATGATACTAATGAACCTCGGAAAAGCTGAAAAAATTGTCCTTACATCTTAGTATCAATTTTTTCAGACAATGAATCGGAAGACGCCTTCCAGGGACTGGAAAGTAGCCGTTGTCATTCCATTTCAGTAGTGTGAGCAAT